GTGGTCACCATGTAGTACACAGCTGCTCGCATCCCCATCCGCCCCGTGGCCTTGTTGTCCAGGGATGCCATACCTGCAGGACAGATGATGTGGTCCCCCCGGAGCTCCATGCATACCCAACGCCAGCCCTCCTAGCCATCCGTTCCACCCTCCCCATATTACCAACTCATCAGCCATCCCACCAAGCATCCCTTTTCCTACAGCCCACCCCAGAACCCACCCATTACCCATTCACCAACACCACCATCTTTCTACTTCCATTCTATTTTCCAAATACACACCCTCACACTCACCCCAACCCTTACCCCAAGCAGCATTCCACTACCCTACTGCCTTCCCTCTACTCCAAGCCAGTCTTTTCCACTCTTTCACCCCATCCCCTATTAACTCTTGTTTCCTCTTGTTTTGCACCATAACCTAACTTTCTTTCTTTCTATTCTCTCTCTTTTTTTTTTTTTTCTGAGACGGACTCTCCTTCGCCGAGGCTGGAGTGCAATGGTGCCATCTCGGCTCACTGCAACCTCCATCTCCCAGGTTCAAGCAATTCTCCTGCCTCAGCCTTCCGAGTAGCTGGGATTACAGGTGCCTGCCACCACGCCCAGCTAATTTTTGTATTTTTAGTAGAGACGGGGTTTCACCATGTTGGTCAGGCTGGTCTCGAACTCCTGACCTCAAGCGATCCACCCGCCTCAGCCTTCCAAAGTGCTGGGATTACAGGCGTGAGCCACTGCGCCTGGCCCATAACCTAACTTTCATTCCACTTGTCATCCCACTATTCATCCCAAAGTCACACCTTCCTCCAACCCACCTCACTGCACACCCTTTGTAGTACATGTTCTTGGTGCTCCACTCCTACACCCTTTCCCAAGCCAATATGCTGATCCTTCAGCCCCAAGAGCACTGTCTACAAATAGCTCAGGCTGCCCCCTTCTCCTTCTCCTGAGAATTGCCCTCAACAAAACAGGAACTGCCTTGCCCACAAAAACCCCAGGGGAGACCTATAGCCAATGAATGACCATGCAAGGATTCACAATGGCCAACTCCTTTGATTCAGGTGGCAGCAGAGTTGGGGAGAGGTTCAACTCTGTGGTTCTGCTCACGCTCCAGAGCTCCCGATGGAATCAGGTTGACAGGCCAGCCTTCTTCTGAAACCCACATCTTTGCTTCACTGGTTTCCCAGTCCCGTCCCACTTCCCTCACTCCCTTATGAGTTTCTCTTGAGAGCTACCCCGCAATAAATCACCAGTGCAGACATCCCCATGTCAGTCAGGCTCTGCTTCCAGGAAACCCAACCTAAGAAACCATTTCTTCATGCTTTTTTCTTCTTCCCCATCCCCAAATCCGGGGATTGGCAAACTGCTACTCATGCCAAATCCGGCCCTCTGCCTGCTTTTGTAAATAAAGTTTTATTGGAACACCATCATGCCCATTTGTTCTCATATTGTC